CATATTATGGGTTACCAATGGAATATTTTTCTAAAAAAAATATGTGCGCCACTGTCTTTTTTCTTTGTTTCTTGTGAAAATTGTGTAGACCGTTAAATGCTGATTAAAAATTGTCTCTTGATATTTTGTCGATTTCGGACTCCTTCCACCTATATCTTTTAAATTCCAACATTTCATTTAGTTGAAATTTTCGACTAAAAAAGTTTTTGCAGTAAACCAACAATATAAACTACCCGGCATAAAATTCCGCCACCCAAAATTTTGACTAAGTTTGATGTTTTAATAACATGATTATGTTATTTGTTGGTATTATTTTTTTATTATTTTAATGGCTTATATATTTCGGTTAGGTGGGTTTATAGACCGAGAGCTGGCTACATAAAAAACCTTATCATCGTTACATGGCTAATTTTTTGTGTGAAGTATCCTTTTGTGTAGCCATTGTGAGATAGTCATGTCTGCCAGCGCGATCCCGTGGCTTAAAGCGGGGGCGGATAATCGAAAGGGTGAAGTTTTGGCACTAAAAATATTATAAGGTACACGACTTATAATTGCCAAATTTTATTTATTATTAGGAAACGTGTAAAATTGTTGACAGACATTTTTCTCGAGGCTGAAATGCCGGCAGACAACGCGAAAGAGGCATATAATTTTGACAAAAGAAAATCATCGCATACATGCATGTCGGTTGGTGGAATGTCATGTTTATTGTTAATTAATTTAAAAAACCGTATGCAAAAGGGCAGGCAAAAAATCGTTATTGAAATAATAAAAAAATACAGGGTTGTTCACCACATACGACACGAAGTATTGTAGCTAAACGACTAGGTTTTTACAAATTGTAAGTTTTGGATTCGTTGAAGGACTATTAGAGCTAAATAAATATCAAAGTTGTATTTTTTTAAATGGAACACCCTATATATTATTACATTTTTAGTTTCTACGCTTAAAATAAAGGTAAATTTGATTAAGGTTTATTACACTTAAACCTTACCGTTTTTGAAATATTTTCAATTTTGTGAAATTGCAGTATAAATTTTAAGGCTTCATTTCTCCGAGGGTATCGGAAGCGACATTATATCGAAGTGATGATCAGTTGGTTGTGCTGCAATAATAAAAGTCTTTTTGACCTTATACAAGTGTCTAAGAAATTAATTTTAAATACTTACTAGTTTTAAAACGAAAATAATTTGTTTAATTTAAAATGAGTTGTATATTTTATGAGGAATCAGATGCACAGTTAAATTGTCTATCAAATTGTATTATACCATTTTTCCTATCTCTTCAAGTTTCCGTAGAAAATGCATTTTCTTGTAATTTAGAACTCATTTATCAATATACCCATGGAATACTGACATTTTAGATTATTTTTAAAGATGTACCAAATTTTTAAAGAGTATAGATACTAATATTGTCGATATAGTTCGTTTATTTCATTAAAAAAACTGTTTAAATATTTGTTAAAAAGGACCAATTAATATGATTCCAGTAGTCAAACTACATTAATTGACTGTTCGCGTTGATTAATAATAATAGCTCCAAATACTCAAAAGCTGAATTATGTATGTGTATTAGACAGTGTGGTAAAAAGTAACACCTTAAAAATTATATTTCATTTTTCGACAAATGCCTATTTATAACAACAGAGATGTTCATTTTTATAACTTATTATTATATTGATTTTTGATTCAAATCCACATTTATTTAGAATAATTTATTAACGAACACAATTAAGTATGTAGTTAATTAGTATTTGGGCGGAAATACTGGTGGTATATTTAATTAATGGTATACTCTTTTATAAAAATTTAAATAGTTTTCTTTTTGAATACAAATGGGCTAGTAATATTATTGTTTTACTAAAAACGATAATATTACTAGCCTGTACATTTTGTACATTTGTTGTTTTAAAAACAACCTAAAATGTCAATATTCCATGGGTATATTGATAGATGAGGTCTAAATTATAAGAAAATGCATTTTCTACGAAAACTTGAAGGAATAGGTAAGAAGTGGTATAATACAATTTGATAGAAAATTAAATTGTGCATCTGATTCTCATAAAATATACAGGGTGTTCTATTTAATGTAAATAAGTTATTGCCGTTTAAAGCTAGTAATTATTAAAATAAAATTTTAGACACTCTGTATAAGGTAGTTTAATTTTTATTAATGAAACACAAAATTTAGTAAATAGACAATATCAGTACAATATTTGGTTTTAAAAACTTAAATACGCCTGGAGAAATAAAGCATTAAAATTATTACTGTATTTTGACAAAAACCTCAATATTTCAAAAAGGGTAAGATTAAAATGCGGTAAACCTTAATCAAATTTATCTTTATTTTAATCGTAGAAACTAAAAATGTAATAATATACAGGGTGTTCCATTTAAAAAAATACAACCTTGATATTTTTTATTTATTTGGGACACTCTGTATCTTGTAAAAATATTTTTAAATTGTAGCTCTAATAGTCCTTCAACGAACCCAAAACTTACAATTTGTAAAAATCTAATCGTTTAGCTACAATACTCCGTGTCGTATGTGGTGAACAACCCTGTATATTTCGGTTAGGTGGGTTTATATCGCGGTAAATCAAAACTTCGTTTTTTGCAAATAAATTCAAAAAACACCCTGTGGAAAAAATGAAACGGGCATTTTGGATAAGCTTACTTTGCTTTCTGTAATCTTAGATGTATTCCTAACATTTCACAATTTTTAATTATCCTATTATCTCTATTCTTTTATGAGCTACACATTTTTAAATAAAGTACTGATATTTTTACAATCAATTGTTGAAAATGGAGCTCTCAATGCCCACCGGTATATTGAGGATGTCCTCCAAGAAATTGTCGTTCGATTTGCTCCTTTCATTGGAAATCAGTTTATACTGATTCATGATAATGCCAGGCTCCACGTTGGGCGGGGTAACGGAGTACGGTAGTTAACGAGTACTTGGATGACGTTGGACTACGAAGATTAGAATGGCCTCCTTGTAGTCCCGACCTCAATCCAATCGAACGATTTGTGTGATGAACCTAAAAGCGTGTAGCGTTCGGCGTGTTCTCGCAAAAAACGCAAATGAAAAGAAATCAGTTTGTTTTCTGTAGCGTCTTTAGCGTTTTCTAAGATGAGACCCCGTCATAGGCGGATGTTATATTTAATAATACAATAAAAATAAATTAAATAGTATTCATTTTTTTTATTTTAGGGTATTATCTAAAAATATTTTTATTAAATTTAAAAATTTCAAGGAACTGTTTGAAAAAGTGTAGTTTGAAATGTTGAAAATTGAAAAAAAAATAGTTTTTTACGTGTAACAAATAGTTTTTTACACGTAAAAAATATATTTTTTTGCGTAACAAAAGGTTTTTTACCAGAAACAATAAGTTTTTGACGCGTAAAAAAATAATTTTTTACGTGTAACAAATAGTTTTTTACACGTAAAAAACTTTTGTACCAAAAAAAAAATATTTTTTTTTGGTAAAAAAGTTTTTTTACAAGAAACAATAAGTTATAAGTTTTGACGCGTAAAAATTAGTTTTTTGCGTGTAATAAATAGTTTTTTACACGTAAAAAATATATTTTTTGCGTAAGAAAGGTTTTCTACCAGAAACAATAAGTTCCTGATGAGTAAAAAAAGAGTTTTTTTATGTGTAACAAATAGATTTTTACACATAACAAATAGTCTTATACGCGTAAAAAATAGTTTTCTAACAGTAACAAATAGTTTTATACGCGTAAAAAATAGTTTTCTGCCAGTAACAAATAGTTTTATACGCGTAAAAAATAGTTTTTTACGTGTAACAAAAAGTTTTTTACACGTAAAAAATATTTTTTTTTGCGTAACAAAAGGTTTTTTACCAGAAACAATAAGTTTTTGACGCGTAAAAAAATAATTTTTTACGTGTAACAAATAGTTTTTTACACGTAAAAAATATCTTTTTGGTAAAAAGGTTTTTTTACCAGAAACAATAAGTTTTTGACGCGTAAAAAATAATTTTTTACTTTGTGTCACGGCTTTGAATTTTTACTCACAGCGCGCGTAAAGAAGTTTCACTCCAAAATGTTTCATAAATCATGTCCTAAAATTGCATTAGCAACTAGAGATATTTACTATTCTATTATATAATTATAATTATTTATTATATTATAATTATAACAAGTACTAACCACAACACTACAACATAAAAAAACTATACACATATAAACTAAAATTCCTAAAATAAATGGCAAATAATAATTATTATTTTTACATACACCACTGGCACTAGCAGTAGATTGTGTTTGTCTCCGAATATAAGCCCCGGCCCGTCCACAATTCAATCCCAGCATCTTTTATCTTCGTCTCTTCAACGCTAACGGCGCCGATCTCGCCTATCTCTTTTCGCCACAGGATTGATTGTTGGACGGGCCGGGAATAATGAGCTTGCGACGTTACTAATTGACAATATTGATAGAAACTGCAGACCTGCCGCGTCTTTTGCGTGTTTTCAATGGACACAAATTGAAAAAAGCGCTTAAAACGGTAAAATCGCAAAAAGCGCTTGAGACGTAAAAAACGCAAAACGCTAAAAACGCTTTCTGTGTGGCCGTGGGCTTAGCTCTTGTAAAGGGTTTTCTTGATCTATAGTTTGATATTCATAAAATTGAGGAAAGTGTTTTTTGTTATCCAAAATGACCGTCTCATTTTTTCCACAGGATGTTTTGAATTTATCGCAAATATTTTTAAGGTGGCGGAATTTTGTGTCGGGGGTATATAAATAGTTGTCTTTTTGACATCTTTAAAACCTATTTTTTCTCTGATTCTATTTCTCCAACTCTCTGAACCGCCAATCCACTTTTCATCTGGCTCTACCTCTCGTCTCATAAGCGGCCCTCGTCTCCGGCACTGTTGCCGAAGCTCTCCAGCTGCTGTCACCCGATGACCACGCTCATGGCCAGCTTGATGACGTTGTTTTCGTCCACGTCAAAGGCAGTGTTGACACGTTTCTTCGCGCTGCGTCACCTGGAGTCGGACGGGTCCCCGCCCGGATCGCTCTCTTCGCCCAGCGAGTTGCCGTGCACTTGGACGTTGTAACTGGGTGATCTGAATTGACGACCCTGGAAGAAATAATATGGAAATTATGTTAAATTGTTGCCTAAGTAGCCCTTTATAATGTTGCCAACTCAGTAGGAATCCTACTAAATCTAGTAGGGTTTTGGCGGCTTTAACTGAAACATTTCTTTTGTTTTAACAGAAACGAGAAAAAAAAAAGAAATTAAATTCGTCACAATTTCTAAAACTAGATATTTTCATTTACATAATTTGATCTGAGTAGATCTTTATTATTTGATAAAATCTAGTGGCTGTGATATGTCTGCAGTTACTTCAACATAGCTATCTAATTAGTCCAACTTTAACAACTAGTTATCATTTTCTGTCAGTTAAAACAAAAAAAATTCTCAGAAATTTGCCGAAAATGCAAACTTATCCTACATCAGAGGGAATTGATATGATTCTATTATTTGGTGCATTCACCAATTAATAGAATACTTAAAAGCTCCTGATTTTATCTAGTCTGTTTTTTTATGGGGATATGTTAAAGACAGTGCTTACAAAACTCAACCAACTATTGTCGATAACATGAGAGAAATTATTGTAGCTGCTTTTCGAGGTAGAACTCTACATATGCCTTATAAAATGAAAAGATGCTTTTGAAAAGACAATCATTTTATGCAGTTAACAGGACAGGAAGCATTATGAGCATTTGATTTCATCTAGTTAATTTTTGTCACATAATTTTTGGTATATATCTAGTTTTAATCCTGTAATAATTAAAATATGTTTTAAACGTGTATCTTTTTATTACCATTGAGTATTTTACTCTACAATCTTTAATTTTTGTTAAATTAGCAAAAGGTATATCACACAGCCACTCCTAGATTTTTTCAGATAATAAAGATCTACTGACACAAAATCATAAAAATTAAAATATCTAGAAAAATCTTTGTCTGAGGGTTAGGCAACCTTAATAATATTTCGAAGACATATAAATTCCCCATTGAACACCGGAAAAATATACTGCGTGTTCCATTTAAAATAAAGGAATAATTAGCTTTTAAAAGCGACTAATGTTAAATATTAATTTTGTCTTACCCTGTATAACTTTTCGGGTCAAATTTCAATTTGGTTTAACATACAATGGTTACTGTAATTAAATATCAGGCTATACAAGGTCAACTAAAATTTAGGTAGCTGTTATCAAAATTTAAAATTTACTATTCATTTTCACCAAATGTGAAATATGTCAAAATCCTTAGATTTTAGGTATATACTTCTTTAATAAAACTCACCTTTATTTTTTTCCTAGAATCCGAAAATCAATTAATATATAGGGTGTTCCATTAGAAAAAACACAACTTTGATATGTAACTTTTTTTGGGGACACCCTGTATAATTCTATATCTTTTTATAAAATGCTTTCAGTTAACCTACATATGTTGTCAAGATTTCATTTCGATATAAACTGCCGTTCTCCTTGGAGGTTCCGTGGTGTATGAGAGGCGCCACCCTGTACACAATTTTTTGGACTCCCTCTATACTTACTTGTAGTTGAGATCCATCCGATCCTCTCCGAGAATTCATTGAGCCTTTCCCCGTGCAGAAACACTTGCAGATGATTCTCTTGAAGGCGAACCTGAAGTCCTTGGAGAAGAGAGCGTAGATCAGGGGGTTGATGGCGCTGTTACAGTACCCCAACCAGAACAAGATGGAGAAGACTAGAGGGTGGATGCAGTCGGCGCAGAAGGCGCGTACCAGGTACATAGTGAAGAAGGGCAGCCAGCAGCAGATGAAGCCTCCGACGATGATGCCTAGGGTTTTGGCGGCTTTGGTTTCCATACGGAAACGCTTAACCTGTAACAAAAAATATTAAGATAGCAGTATATTTATTATAGTGATGGGCATTACGATTCTTTTTAATGAATCGAATTACACGATTTAATTTCTCATATTGAATCGACTCTTACGATTCGTTAACTGTAACGAACCACATGCACAATTTACGTTTCATAAAATCAAGAATCGTAACTGGCACTACCGGCGATAATTTAGTCGGACGATTACTTAAGGGGCCAGAAAAAGAAATATACAGTTCTTTTATTTACTTTTCAACACTTTAAGGTACTGGCATAATTGGATAATTATTTTACCAATAATATTAAATTATCAATCCAATTCATATAGCTATACTATTTTTTATTAAAGACTTCTTAATACCAATTTAATATTTTGAGTACCCAAAAAGCAAAATTTATTGCTGGAACATTGCCAAAACTTCGCAAAGCAAGGTGTAACATTGCTTTGGGTTTAGGTTAGCTTAATCTTCCGCCAAATAACATTGCAGTGCAAGGTTGAAAAAAATGTTGATGCAAGTTTATTGATACCTTGTCACAACCTCGTGAGAAGATTTCACAATATTACTAAAACGTTGTTAATGTAACGTTCAAGAAAGTGCTAATTTGATATTTCTTAGCAATATTGTTAATTTTACGTCCATAAAAAAATTGGTAAAATTATATTGTACCTATGTTTCAAAACTTATTGTCCATTAAACTTTCTATTTTGTTATAACTTATTAACTGACTTATTGCCAAAATAATATAGCAAAAAATAGATAATGTTCGCAATAGAAAACCATTTCATTCATCGGAGAGTATACATAGAAATGATTTTTTAATATTTACTTATCAATTAATGAAAAAGTTTGTTCATACGAACATCAGCAATTTTATGTTAACAATAATACATCGGTAATTGGTTATAATCAACAGAAACATTAATGGGTATTAAATTATAGACTTTCAGATAGGTATAATATACTTTTACTAATATTGTATTGACGAAAAACGAACAATATTGATAAAAATATGCATATCTCTATATCAATTGACTTAGAAAAATTAAAAATGCTCGGTATAAATATATCCCTACCAAGAAAGTCGAATTTGTCAAACAAATTGAAAAAAAAACAAATAAAAATTAGAAATTTATCACTTGCTTGTTTCAAGAATATCAAAAATACCGTCAAGTACTGAGAACTTACTGATCTTTTCGGCTGCTCATTCAATAAGGAATTACACAACTCCGACCTCTGAGTCGAATTTCTAAAAAAATCTTAAAGTTGAATGTCTGAAATAATACAAAATATATAGGGTACAGTATAAACATCATTATATATTTCTTGTTCAAAAATACAAAAGGAAAGTATAACATTAAATATATGTACAAGGAAAGGCAAACTTATATTTTAATTGATTTTTTGGATCTTTCATATTTTGTCTTCGCATGTTGAATTGTCTTATTCATGGTTTCAAATTACTCTTCGGTAAAGTTTTCAAATCTATATCCAATCATTTCTAAAGTAGTAAAAATAAAAGGAATCAGTTGTAATAAATAAAAAACAATGAGTAACTTACCTCTTGTGACAGTAATCTTTGAGGCCCCTTTATGTCCTTATTTTAAAAATCTCAAATGATTAAAACACCATTAAAAAAATATTATGGAGAATAATTAATACTGAATATTATTTGTGATTTTATCATTAGATTGATATACTCGTATCCTGGTTTTATCTACTTCAATTTTCAGTTTTCAGTTGGCTAAAAGCTAACCTAAAACAAAATTTTGCTTATAAACAAACTAAACAAAATTTTTTATACTTTTTCATGGCTAAGCATTATTAAAACATACATGATAATAAAATTATACTTACATTTACATTCATTAAAATCTCATTCGAAAAGAATAAAACGTGATACCAAAAACGTAAAAAAACAAGTGCGTTAACCTAACCTAACTTCTAATTTATAACGTATGATAAAAAAATGCGTCAGCGATGGCTATGAAAAGAAAATCGCTGTCATTTTATATGTAAAATTATATGGGGAATGTCATCGATATTCATTTCCAAGCCAACTAGACGCCGTTTTTTTCGATCTTATGGTATATTTGTTATATTATTAATTATTAATAACTTGCGCGGATCTTTCATTTGAATCTTTGTTGCAATGTTGCAGAAAAAACGTTTTAATCACAATTCAAAAGCAATGTTTCTGTAGCAAGGTTTCATCAATCACGACACAACGTTTAGAAATTAACATTACAAAGCAAACTGTTTAGGGATTGACTGCAATGTTGCAAATGTAATGTGAGATTTTTTGCGTGGTGGGTATATTTTAATTCCGATTTAATAATCACATAATAAATAATTTATAATACTGTATGATCGTGGACAAAAATGGCGTCCAGTTGGCTCGGAAATGAACATCGATGACAACAATCTTCATTTCATAACCATCGCTGACGAAGTTTTTTTATCATATTGAGCAGAGGCCAACAATATTTATTTGGAGTTGCAGAAAAAACACGATTTCCTCTTTTGGCATTCCAACATTTAACAGTTTATAGTTGATAAATATTATTTTAATAAAACTATTAACGGTAAAAAATAAATGCTTTACAGATACTCCCGTAGCACAGTATAAATAAGTTTTTTTCTTGTAAATAACTTCCTTATCGTTTGCATTTTATGTATATGATGTTTGTTTAGGGCTTCTGTTCAAGTCTAAATATTGGTGCTCGACCTTCTCTATGCCGATATCACCTCCGCATCGCCGCCGGACAAACGAATGATCGCATTGTGATCCGATTCAATTCTTACGACTCTTTTTTACAACTGGTTTGTTTAAATTTTATGGATCCGTGCTGGTCACGATTCAACTGAACGAACCGTATTGTAAGCAATGAATCCATTCTCACGACTCTTTGAACGAACTAGCCGTAGAAACGAACGATTGCATTGTGATCTGATTCAATTCTTACGACTCTTTTTTACAACTGGTTTGTTTAAATTTTATGGATCCGTGCTGGTCACGATTCAACTGAACGAACCGTATTGTAAGCAATGAATCCATTCTCACGACTCTTTGAACGAACTAGCCGTAGAAACGAACAATTGCATTGTGATCTGATTCAATTCTTACGACTCTTTTTTACAACTCGTTCGTTTAAATTTTATGGATCCGTGCTGGTCACGATTCAACTGAACGAACCGTATTGGTAAGCAATGAATCCATTTTCACGACTCTTTGAACGAACTAGCCGTAGAAACGAACGATTGCATTGTGATCAGATTCAATTCTTACGACTCTTTTTTACAACTCGTTCGTTTAAATTTTATGGATCCGTGCTGGCCACGATTCAGTTGAACGAATCGTATTCTAAGCTTTGAATCGATTCGTTTTTAATACTCGTTCAAATGAACGACTCGTTCAATCTTTGCCCACCTCCAGAGGGTAGGCTATGTGAGCGACGGTGCACACGGTCCCACCCTGCAAAGCTGGATACGACGTTTCGTTTACATCTTCATCAGGGTGGGACTAAGGAATTGACATTGAAGAAAAATGTGGGTGGATTTCGGCATAATTGGGGACGGGCTACAGGATGACGACCTCGACGTTTCGAACCGATGCCTCTAACCTTAAATGGACGAAATCATCAGGATTTTTCTTAATTATGGGTCGATTGGAACCAAACTCTGCACGTGGATAGAGGTACCCGAATGGTGTTCTCAGACGTAAATACGGACAGATATTTTCCAAAAGGACGAATCTGAATATTCAGTATTATTGTTACACAATATTAATAAAGTTGAAAGTAACATATTATTCGCAGAGATATAGTTAAATAAACAAATTTTATATTTTCTAAAATTATAAATTATTTCGTTTCCCAGTAAACAATCCCAGCTTTTATGCTCTAAATTAAAACTAGTTTTATTAAATTGTTATTTGAACAGCTTGAAAATAAATATAAGTCTGCCGCGTCAAAAATGGCTGCTACCGAAAAATTTATTGCCGGAAATATCGCAGCCGGCTGTGCCCGGATTTTTGAGAAAAGTAAATCTAAATTTACTTTATTTGTTGTAGTTTTGCTCTGTATACGATTTTGCTATTGTACGAGTATTTCGAGTGTTTGGAGAGAATTCTGGGAAAATATAGTTTAGTATTAATAATTTATTTTGGAGTATAAAATATACAGTGTCACAAATTAAGTTCATGTCATACTGTTATTTTTACTTATTTCTTAGTTTTTGTTTTAGGTTAGGTTAGGTTTCTGGGGTTTGGGATCCTGTTTGGTCCTTCACTCGGAGGCCTTGGACCTATTACTGCTATTACCATACCCCCGTATTACTGTATGTCAAACCTTTCTCTCATCTTTTTTTTGAGTTAAAACACTTCCAGCTCTTGGCCAAGTTCCCGATGTCGCTGATGTTAGTTACCTGCTGGTTCCTCTAGTCTCTCCAAAAAAACATGCCCTGAAGTTTTAAAGAAAAACGCAGAGGTTGTCCTATTATACAAAAAAAGGAGATTATACAAATATAGAGAATTATAGACCAATAAGCCTTCTCTCGCACCTAGACAAGCTCTTCACTAGGATTATCAACAACCGACTTTCTACGAAACTAGATTCCTATCAGCCATTAGAACAGGCAGGCTTTCGAAAAGGTTTTAGTACCATCGATCATCTACAAACAATTAAACAGTCATTGAAAAACAACAGAATATAATATACCGCTACATTTGGCCTTTGTGGACTACCAAAAAGCCTTTGCCAGCATCGAAACCTGGTAATTTCCAGCTGCAATGGAGGACGCGAGAATTGATTCCAGATATTATTCCATTATTAAAAATATCTATGATAGTGCAACCTTCCAAGTTAAAGGATTAGTCTTCAAACCAGTTAAAAAGTATGTAGGTGGCGCCCTCTACAAGTAGCAGTCATATTGACGTGAAAAAAATATCGAAATAAAAATGAAACTTCTACACCCTGTATCTACGAAACTAAGTATTTTA